GCCAGCAGACCCAAATGTGAATGCCTCACAGTGGGGTCCTTGGGAAGGGCTGGGTATGGTGGCAGATGAGCTGCGAAAGTGGAAGGTGCAGAACAGTTTGTTCACGGTACAATCCAGTGAGGATGCAGATGGGAAGAGGGGATGTGGAGGGCCCCGGAGCAACCCATGCTGGGACCAGGGCTTGGATACTGGGTAGAGAGCCAGCCTTGCAAGGATGCTTATCTGAGCCCAGCAGCCTCCTGAAGGAAACCTGGTGGAGCTGGGTGGGAAAAGCTTCCAGATTCCTTCTCGGGATGCCCCAGGGAAATGCTGGTGTCTCTGGGAAGACCCAGCCTCCAAGGGTACTACTTTACCACCTTCTGCTCTAAGAGTACTCCACCATCTTCTGTGAACTCTGGAGGCCTGCTTGTAAGACAGAAGACAGAAACAGGCTCAGTGCACTTGGGTCCCGGACCTGAAAGACCCAAGGCCTAAACATGATCTGCCAGCTAGCTGATATTCAGCCCAAGTGCCAGAGCTAGAGGAAGCCTGGGTGCGAGGTTCCTTGAGAACTGAAGGCTTGAGGGCGCGTTCTGGGGGACTTTTGGGCAAAGCTTCCAAGCTTGGCTTATGTGACGCATGTTCTAGAAGACGGTGAAATGATCTGATTGGACTGAGGAAAGATCATTTTGGTTACAGAGAAGGAAACTGAGACTGAGCAGGAAGACCCCATGATCCCAGGTGTGGGAGGAGATAGCTCCCCTAAAGCAGGCTACAGATAACCAGAACATTCCCCTCTACGTGGATAGTGCGCAGGCCTCAGGGCCCTACTGGGTCCTGTGTCTCTAGGAGGCCGCACTAATCAGGTTGAAGGCAAAGCTTGTGCCTCACTTTTCTTACAGACAAAGGTAGAATGACTGCAGGCATCTATGAGGACTTGACTTTCAGGTTATAAAGAAAAAGTTATACTTATAACTAACTGTGTTCTTATATAATGTCCTGGTAAGCTTAGGTCCTGAGCTAACCTACTGGGTGGATACCTTGAAATGTAACCCTGGGGTGCTCTGTGATACTTTATTACCCTGAGATGTTTTGTTACTCTGGGAAGTCTTGAAGCTCTGTGATGCTTTCCGTTCATTATGTCTGACTATTGATAAAGATATAAAACTAAAAGAACAAAAAGTTTGCCAAATGGGTTAATAAGGCACCTGTCCAATTAGTCCAAGAAAAGCATAGATCAAATGTGTCAGAATTCTAAACTTCTGCAGATGGTATCTGATTTTTGCAAACTGAAATGACCAATTGACCAAGTTCCAGCCCAGTTAGCCTAGGCTAGTTGTAGATCAAAAGGCAGCAGATGTCCTGACCCACGTCTGGGATATCTACTTTAAAAACTATGCTGGGCTAGTGAACTTAGGAAGGAAATTCCTGAGATAACATGGCTCACCATGAAAAGAAACAGAGGGCCCAGATGCTAACCACAAATGATGACTATAAAATCTACAGATGAGGACCCAGAATCTAATAGCCATTTGTTACTTATCGGGGTCCTCGTGCATCAGTAAAGAATAAATGAGCTTTCTGACTCTCTCCTGGGTGTGCGCTTGGTCTCTGCTGTTTGAAGAATTTTTCTATAACACAAGGAGTCGGGAAATGACATGGTGGGAGAAATGGGAGGGAGAGAGGTGGGGGGTGTGAAGAGAGAGGTGGAAGAGGGAGAGGTGGACAGGGACAGATGGGAGAGAGTGAGGTGGGGAGAGAGAAAGAGGCTGGCAAAACAAAGGGCAATGAAAAGATGGACAGAGACAGGTGGATCAAAGATGAGGGATTTTTAGACCTGGATGCAGGGAGACACAGCCATTCGTCCCGCATCCCATTGTCAAGACTAGGTCCTAAGCTCCGCCTCCCCTTAAGAGTGGTTGGGAAATGGAGTCCAGTGCATGCTCAGGAGGAGGACCCCTGGGGTGTAGGGAGCACTGCCCACCTTCCCTCTCATACCTTTGTGTGCCCCTCCCTCCTAAGTGCTCCTACAGGTGTCTCTGTGTAGAAGATGAAAAGATTGTGCTGGCCTCAGCCTGGTGGGGAGTCTGGGACATTCTAAAGGCTTAGTATTTGCTCACTGAAGGGAGGGAGAAAGGAAAGATAGAGGAAGAGGCCTAAGCTGTACCTGCCAAACTGGCCAGTGTTGTCCCCATGAACAAAGCTCCGCTGACCATGGGTTATTCCAAACTGGGTCTGTGATTTCTGATGTTGCTTGGGGAATCATTTTTGTCCTTATATGTGTTTTTAAATTGTTTGACTCACTCCATTTCTCTGGAGGGAGGAGACAAGTTCAAGTGGCCCAAGAAAGACTGCAGAGCAAAGCCTTCCTCCCTGGGAGGGCTAGTCACTGTGACTTCCCAAGAGGCTTCCAAAAGTACCCTGTGCTTAGTAAACCTACCCTGTCAATCTCCCTGTCCCCATGACTGTGCTTCTTATCCTCCCCTGTCATGGAAGAACTTCTAGGGGAGGAGAGAAGTGGAATGGGAGGAGCTTTCAACCATGTTCTGTGGCTATAACAACGTGACAGATATGGAAGCTGTTGGGCTCAGAGCCTCGGAGGCTGGGAAGGTCAAGAGCACAGCAGTGACAGTGGTGAGGACCTTCATGCTGTATCATAGCAGTCAGGGGACATCACATGGCCAGACAGAGCAGTGTGCCAGCTCGGTCTCTCTTTCATATCAACTCCACTGTCACGATCTCATCCTACCCTAATGGCCTCTCAAAGGCCCCACTGCCACAGGACATTAATGAATTTGGGAATTGTATTTCTAGCCTATGAGCATTTGGGGGGCTCATTCACATCCTAGCAAGCCTGTATATATGACCGCATTAGGCCCTCAATGCAAACCAATGGGTCAATCTTCATGACACACCCAGGCAAGAACTGATACCAGTACCCCTAGAAACCTCCTGTGCTGAGACTTGGTACCCAGCCAGTGTCACTATTAGGAAGGGGTTGGATCATGAGGGCACAATCAGTGGACTAGCTATGATGAATTTGTAGCTGAATGGGTTGTTAGGAGGTGGGGAACACTTGGAGGAAATAGGTCCCTGGGAGTACGCCCTAGATGGGTATATCCTGTCTTCAGGCTCTTTCTCCCTCTCTGCTTCCTGGTTGTCTGGTAAGCAGCTTTACTCCATTATACCCTTCTATCATGGTGTTCTGCCTTGCTGCAAATGTAAAGGCCCCAGAGACAGCTGGTCAGGGACTGGACCCTCTAAAGCCTTGAGCCAAAAGAAATCTTTCCTCTAAGTTGATTTCACTCAGAGATTTTTGTTTTCATTGCTATGAGAACTAACATCCTCTCATCTGACAGGTGTTGAAGCTCAGAGAGGCCAGGCAGGTCACACAGCCACACCACACTTCTTCCCTGGCCCGGTTCTAGGCTCCGTAGAAGGTACTTGTGCTCGATTCCCTTTTTGGAGTCTTCAGTTCCACTTTCTGGCCTCTGTGGATAGGAACATCTGCTGAGTTCATCCTTCCAGTTTCCCCTACCTACTCCTCTTCTGTTGTGTGAACTTTTTCCCAGGAGACCCAAACAGACATCACTTCCCACAGCCCCAGATAGAGCACCCATGACAGACGAAAGGGAAAATTCCAACAAAGTCCATCTTGGTGAACTAATGAGTTTATTGGCTTATTTACAGAGTATAGATAGGGGGTTGCTTAGAGGAGTGTGGGTTGTGACCCCAGAGCAGCTGTGTCACCAGGAAGTCTTACCCCAGCATGGATGTTGGCTTTCCCATGCCTATGTAGAGTCACCCCTTCATTTAAACTTCCACCCTCTGTATACCCTAACACCTCCGGAGACCAATTACATCTGGGAGGGAGGTGGAGGAAGGAGAGGCTAGAATCTCAGATGAGGGGTTATGACGCCCTCCACTTCCTCCTAGGAGGGAACATCAGCAGGTTCGATCTTGAGGGTCACTTGAGAGTAGTCACAGCTTTTTCAGTGAAGATGTAATGGGTCTTATGTTGGAGGACAGCATTCTATGGCATCTGGACTCTTCTTGCCACACCCCCGACCCTCAAGCCACAAGCAGGGTATTAAAACTGAGAGGACGGGAAGAAGAACTGGGGAGGCCTGTCCAGTGAACTCCCTCAGCCCGTGGTCCTTTGACACTGCATTTAAAGAGAAGTTCATTGCCTCTCCTTGTCAAAAACAAAGCCATGAGCTGCTCCCCCATCTCCCGAAAAGGGAAAGCAAAGAATTAGAACCTGTGACTGAAAGGAAGAGGAAGGTTCTCGAAGGTCCAATCAGTGGCCATCAAATTGCTCACCAAGCCCTGATGACCTCTAAATGCTAACCTGACTAAAGGTTTCCCAGAAGGCTGTGTTAAAGGAGATTTATGGAAGACAGGTATATAAGGGACTAGAATGGGGTAGATGGACCTTCTGTGGGACGTTTGAGTTTAAGGGTGTGTGTGTGTGTGTGTGTGTGTGTGTGTGTGTGTGTGTGTTTAACCTGACTAAAGGTTTCCCAGAAGGCTGTATTAAAGGAGGTTTATGGAAGACAGGTATATAAGGGACTAGAATGAGGTAGAGGGCTCTGTGGGACGTTTGAGTTTAAGGGCGTGTGTGTGTGTGTGTGTGTGTGTGTGTGTGTGTGTGTGTGTGTGCGTGTCTGAAGGGAAGGCTATGAGGCTTGGGTGGCATGTGTGAGATGGGGTGGGGGTGGTGTAGGGGAAGAGGGGCCTGACCCCTTAGGCTCCATGGGTAGCTTCGTTCCTAAACTAGAGTGATTTTGGGTGTGTGAGTGCCACCACACTTGGTGACCGCCCCCAGCGTAGGAGGGAGATCTTATCAGTGCTAGGTGTGTGTGGAGTTTCAGGCTACCTCATCACCCCCGTCTCTCCGCCTCCCACTGGGCCTTGCCCCTCATCCTCTGTACAGGAAGTGGGCTTGCCCTGGGTTTCAGTCACTGCTGGCCCAGCTGCTGTCTGCTACCTGTGCTGCGGAGCAGGAGATGGCCGTGGACTCAGCCTTGAGAAGGACTGGAGGGAGAGTGTTGCCACAGCCCCATGTCTCAGCCAGGTGATGCCCCTGTGCAGCCCCCTGGGATCCCAGGGCTCCTTGCCACCCCTTGACGACCACTTCACCTAGGTGGGGGCAGGGAGCTGGAGAGACACTCAGCTCTGACTCAGTTCTCCCTGAGTTTTCTTCCTGGGCTTTGATGCTCAATCTCATCTTAGGATCCCCTGGGGATGGTGTGGCCTGACTCACAGCTTCTGTCTTAAGAATAAGGCCTTTCCAGTACCAGGCCACAGTGATTCCTTCCCAGCCTATTCTATAGGGGATTGTGCGTCACTTTGCTATGAGGGTCTTCTCTGGGCTCCATGTGCTGGTCTCTCAACCCAGAGGGGTGGTGAGGTAGGTGGGTGGCTAGACTCAGAGCTCAGAGGTTGCATAGTGTGTGGAGCTGCCTGGTTCTCCACAGGTGGAGGTCACCCTTGCCTCTTGTGGACCACGTCCCAGCTTGGGGACTATCCCTTTAAGATGCCGGTGGATGAGGGAGGAGAGATGGTCTCCTCTGGGACCAGACTAGAAAGCTGGCTGTGCTGACTGGTGGGTATCTGGAAGCCCTGGGCCAGAAGCCAGAGTCCAGGGTCCCAGCTTGGCTTTGTTTCTTACTTGGTTGAGTGGCTAGAGAGGTCAGGACACCTCCAGGTACTGGACTCCATCTCTGGGCCTCCCTGAGGCAGGAGTTTCCCCGCTCTTAGTGGTGTTTGTAACTTAAGGGGTAAGGTGGGTACTTACTAAAGAGGACAGAGCTAAGCCTGAGAGTCCCCTTCCTTCCCCATACTCTGTGGGGAGATGACCTCAGTTGAGCAGCAAGAGGCACCCTCTCTCTGTGTCTGTCTGTCTGTGAGTATTAGTGTACATGTGAGTGGGGAGGGTGTTTATGAGTATGGGGGTATGAATGTGTGTTTGTCTATGGGAAAGTAGTCTGAGAGGTTGAGGACAGAGGGGCCTCTGAGGTTAGAGGTCAGGAGGTTGTATTCCGGGTCACAGAGCTCCTGTTTGCCATCCTCCCTCCGCTGATCCTAGATCCTGTGGACCTGTGGGGCCTCACCTCAGACTGCCCCTGGTATTTGCTCTCTCTTGCCTGGGCGACAGGTTGATCTATGTCCTAGTTTCCCCATGTGGAAGTTAAGCAGGATCAACTCCTTACTGTGACATGTGCTGGTCAGTGTGGGACAGGGAGTGCAGGTGTCAGTCATTGCTGACCTTCCTCCATCATCATCATCTTTGAACTGGAAATCAGGTGACCCAGTTAGAGAAGTCTGGGCCTGTGGGATGATGAGCTTTGCAGGCCTTGGTGGGGACATATGAGTCAGGGGTGGGAGCGTCTGGTGATTGTGAAGGGCATGCGTGGGCGACCCCTAGGGGGACCGTGCCTGGGACTCTGAGGTCCCGGGTTGTGCTCGCTCAGCCAGAAGCTGGCCTCATGCTGTGTGGCTTTGAGCAGCTCCCTCAGTCTCCCCAGACTCTGTTTCCTTCTTGCAGAAGAGAGGGTGTGACCACTGTGACTGTTTGGAGCCCTCACAGCATGATGCTTCTGGAATCTTCCTTACTTTCTTCACTTTAACGTGGCCCATGATGAGTGGACACTCCTGCACCTCTTTAGCCAGTGGTAGGGGGCAGACTCATGGTGCTGTTTCCTTGGTCTGCTGTGCTCTTTGCTGGCACTTGTGGTCTGGCCCTGACTGTCCTGTGACTAGACCCTTTTGTCCCCCTTCCTCGCCCCTGAGTTATGTCCCAGGTCCCTCCCTGCTTGAGGTTGCTCTGATGTCTGGGCCCTGGGTGGTTGACTCAACAATAGTGCTTTGGAGTGTGTTGGGCCCATTAAGGGCCGGAGGTGGGGTTTGCTTGAGCTCTGTACTCTGGGGTCCCTGTGCACTTGGGGAATCCATACAAAGCGACAAGTAACCATCCTCCTGAAGAACAATGGGCCAGGTAAGGTTGAGCCTACAAGGACCTCTTAGGGTTCCTTCCTGTCCCTGGGATAAGTACCTGCAGGTTGCCTGTGCCCTGCAGGACACTGACCCTCCCCCTCAGGGAACGGAGATCCTTGGGAGAACCCCAGCTCTGTGGCAATTAATTGCTTGGAGCCTCAGTTTCCTTATCTGCATAGTGAGGACCTGGAATAGCTGAGGAGATGTTGGGTGGAAGAGAGGGGCTGGTGGCACGAAGGGCTTGGCACACAGCCTGGGCATCATGGTGTTGGGCACACATGGCAAGCATCGTCACTGGATCATCAGGCAACTCATTGCCCTGCAGACCTCTGAGCACATTCATGTGACCCATAGCATTTATTGAGCACCTTCTGGGTGCCAGGTTCAGCAGTCTGCAGTGTGGGCACACTGCCTGGCCAGTCTTGCCTCTGCTACAAAGAGGAACGGCAGCTCAAGGCAGGACATCCTATATTCGTGGGGACTCCACAGAACGGGAGAGGAAGAGCTTGAAATGGGTCTTAAAGGGTAGCAGGAGCTGTGGAGACCATGGGAGAAGAGCAGTTTGGGAAGGGCTTTTAAAGGACCAGTCCAGAGCCATCGGCTTATGTAGATGGGAAGAGCCACAGGGCAGGGCTCAGCTTTACCCTGCAGGGTGCTTCAGGGGAAGCTGGAGCTGCTACCAGCCTTGAGCCTTCTCCTCCTCCAAGTCCACACCACCGTTTTCAGCCTGTTCTCTCGGTTCCCTTCATGGAGGGTGCAGGGCAGAGTAACCGACCAAGAAACCTCGGGAGCCCCGACACGTCCCCATGGACTGTCCATGACTCATGTGCATGGATGTGCATAAGTGAGTGTGTGAGCATGTCTAAGCAAGAAAACAAATGGACAAGCGTGAGACCGCCCCCCCCCATCTGCTGCTTCAGTTTCTATGGTTTTACTTATCTCAATCACAGTTGGAAAATAGTAAAGAAAATCCCAGAACTAAGCAATTCATAAGTTTCAGTTGCCCGCTAAAACCTTGCACAGTCCTGTGTGAAGACTGAGCGACCCCTATGCCTGGAATATCTGTGATCCTCACACTGCTCTCTTGCCTGTCACTGAGCCAACTCGGTTTTCCAATCACCCCAATAGACACCATGCAGTAGCAACAGGACTTAGTGGCCTAACACTGTGTCACAGTGCCCAGTCACCTCACCTCATTATCCAGGCCAGGGTGCGCACAGTGTTGTAAGATCTTTTGTGCTGGAGAGAACACAGTTACGCTGTGCTTGGCACAGCTGGTGGCTGTCACTATATTTATTGTATGGCTAATATTGTCAGTCTTTCGTGGTGTGTATATAATTTATAGGAAAAACATAGTCTGTGTAGGGATTAGTTCGGTCCAAAGTTTTAGGCATCCCTGGGGGTTTAAAACTTCTCTTCTGAGGGGAGAGATTTACTTACTACCGGACACAAACAAACAATAAACAATGCTGAGATGCAAAATGAAACAGGGTGTGGTGAGCACTCTAAGGAAGCAATAACAGCAGAAATGGGAAGAAAGGGAGTGAGCACGTGCGAGGCTGAGGCCCCAGAAGGTGCAAAGGTCCTGAGGCCAGGCTGTGTGGGTTCCGGCTGGGTGGAGACTAGAGCAAGGGGAGGGTCACCAGTCCTGCTTATGTCACCATCTCCCTCCTCCTCCACCCAGGGCTTGCTTCCCCAGCTTTGCCCTGTGGATGTGATGGCTGCCACAGCTCTGTCCTGGAGTCTGTCCCTCCTCCTCATCCTCCTGTCCCTGGCTACATCTCGGGTGTGTGCAACAGAGAAAGGTGAGAACCCAGCATCTTATTTTTTTATTATTTATTTTCATTTTTATGTGCATGAGTGTTTTGCCTGCATGTGTGTAAGTGCACCACGTGCTTAGAATACTCATAGAGGTCAGAAGAAGGCATAAGATCCCCTGGAACTGGAGTTATGGATGGTTGTTAGGCGCCATGTAGGTGCTGGGAACTGAACCTGGGTTCCCAGCAAGAGCAACGAGTGCTCGTAACCTCTGAGCCATCTCTCCAGCCTAGGACCCAGGATTTTGTGCTTTCCCTGAGTGGGAGGCCCCACCCTTCTGGAGCCTGTCTCAGTCTCCTACTTCTCAGAGGAGGTCCAGCCACAGCAGCAGGAGGCAGGGGAGGAGGGGTGGGACAATGGAACCAGGAGAGCAGGTGTCCACCTCCCAGCTGGTCCTTCTCCCTGGTCCCTGCTGCTGCACAGGCCTCACCTAAACACAAGAAGAGACTGCTTCTTGTCCCTGCTCTGCCCTGCCCTCCTGTGGGTCTCTGTAGTCTCTGGGAGCTCAGCTCCCTCCCCTTTGAAATGGACTTGATTTAGGGGTGGAAGATGGCTCAGTGGGTAAAGTGCTTGCCATGCAAACATGAGAAGCTAAGTTGGGATCCTCAGCGGTCACATAAAATTCAAGCACGGGGCTGGTGGGATGGCTCAGCAGATGAAAGTGCTTGCCACAGAAGCCCAGTAATCTGAGTTCAATCTCCGGATCCCATGGTAGGAGAGAGCCAACTCCTGAATGTTGTTCTGATTCTACGCACACATGTGTGTGTGCTTGCATGTGTGTGCCCATGCATACACAATTATAAAAATATAAGCCAGATATGGTGAGGCACATGGTGCTATGGAGGTGGCTACAGGAGGATTCCTGGGGCTCAGTGGCCAGCTAGCCTAGATGAGTTGACAAGCCTAGGCTCAGTGAGAGACCTGTCTCAAAAACAGTAACAAAAATAGGGTGGATGGTACTTGAGGAATGAGACCCAAGGTTGTCCTCGTCTGGCTTCCACATGCATGTATACATACAGGTGTATGCACACACACACACACACACACAAACTCACACATGCACACAATGAGCACAAACACATAAACACACATTAAAGAAAATGAAATGGGCCCAAATCTGTTCTCTGCCCTCTTGAGTTGCCTGCCTTCTTCTTTGGTATAGGGGTGCCCAGAGCGGGCTGGTGACTGTACGCAGAGGCTATGTGCACTCTGTAGCTGGCCACTCACACCCTCCCTTGCCCACAGACAAGTCCCATCTCAAGTGCTTCTACAACTCGAGAGCCAATGTCTCCTGTGTGTGGAGCTCGGAAGAAGCCGTGGAGGCCACGACTTGCCACATCCACGCCCAGTCAGATAGTCGGTGAGTGTGGCCTGGCATGGCATAGAACCTCAGGACCCTCAGAACATGTAACTTTGGAATTCTGAGTATCTGAGATTCACAGGAGTTGGAACCAGGATCCACCTTTCAGCCATTTAGGCTCCTGGAAGTGGCTGGGGTCCAGGTGCAGTCAAGGGCTAGAGAGTACTTGGAGTAGGTAGTTGGATGCAGAGGCTGTGAACCTACCATGCCAAGGCTCAACTCCATGTCAGTGGCAAGCAGGATGGATACTGGATGCTCCTCAAGCTTTTTGAGCAATCTGGGATTTGGGGGAGAGCTCTCAGGCAGCTCTGGGGACAGGGACTGTTGCCTGGGCTGTTGTCTTATGGGGACAGGGACAAGAAGTGACTGGGGAGCCACAAGGTTCTTCAGGGATAATTCAGCTGCATGGAGCTTGGCAGTAAGGCTCTTGAAGAGGGACCTATTGAACTGGCTTGCATTTTTAGGTCGCTCTGGCTACTGAGGGGCCAGGCTGGGAGGCTGAGGGCAGCCAGCCTCCACCCCTGGTTGGCACAGTGTCCTCATGTCCTCACCTAGCCAGCTGTGCTGCTGTCCCCAGCATGGCGGGGTCTAAAACATGTCCCTGGGAGGCTCTATGGTTCCCCCTTCCCTTGTTTCCTAAGGAGGTTTTTCTGCTCCGTAAGGCCCTGGAACAAAACCTGTAAGCTGCGACCCGTGAGGCGGGCATCCTGGGCCTGCGACCTGATCCTCGGATCCCTAGATGTGAGTAACACGGCCAGGAAGAGCATGGGGATCGGACATCTCCCAGCTCGGGGCTGGGTCTGGGCCTCTACGAGCATCTGCCAGTGTTTGCAGAGCAGGCTGCTGGGTGGAGAGGGAAGGGCAGGAGGGCATTAGGCCTGCACCTTTACTGCCCCCATCAGACTCTTGGACACCCCACCCTTCTCTCCACTGTGGGTCCTGCTACTTTTCTGATTCTCTGCCAAGTGGGGACAATGACAACCATACTAGACTCCTCCTGAGCCTCGGCACGCAGGGAAGTAGGGGAGAGTTGGGCATCCCAGCTCTGATGCCACCTAACACTAGCTGGGTAACTATGCACAACTTCAGTGCCTCAGATTCCCCTCCCATAAAAGAGAAAATAGGAATGGAAGCTCTCTTAGAGGATCATCTCAGGAGCACTTAGGTTGGTGTCCTAACAGAGCAGACTGTGGCATTCATAAGCAGACCCTCACAACTCCACGTGCAGGTAACAGCACTGCCTCCTCTTACCAAGAAAGAATCTGAGACTCAGAGAGATGTAGTCCCCACCCAAGGGCTGCTCCCCCGCCTTCACCCAGACACAAACAACTGAGCTGGGATTGACCCCAGGCCTGTGGCCCCTGGTGGCTTTTCTGTGTTCCTCAGCTACTTCTTGTAGGGTCTTTAGTTTGTTTATGTGGGTGTGACTCAGAATTCTCTGCAAACCCTCCAGGCAGGGGAAAGGGTCTGCCCCATGGAACCCGGGCTTGGCTGGGGCCTGGTCCCACCATTTCCTAATGGTGTGACATTACCCTTACTGGTTTTTGGTCTCCTGGACCCTTGGATGGGAATGGTAATAGTGTCTATCTTAGAGGCGGTGAGAGAATTCAATGATGTAATTTAGGCAAAGGGGACAGAAGAGGGTACAGAAGTGCTCAGCAGGTCTTATACTGGCAACATGTTTAAGGACAACCACAGCATTAAAACTCAGGTTGTGCTGTTGCTAACTGGCGAACCTGGCCCTGTAGCAGCTGTGGGAGGGGAAGGCAGAGCCCTCGGTGCAGACAGCGGAAGTATTTCCTGAATGACCGGTCAGGGAACTCTGATGGTCAGGTTTATGGTTTGTGAAGGTCAGAGGGACTAGGCCTTGAGGCTCAGACCCCAAACCACCACCTGGTCCCCTAGCACAGGCCCTACCACGGCCTGGCCTTGAGCAAGCTTCCTCCTACAGTCTGCGGCACTGCCTGCATAGGGGGCCTGGTTGGGCAGTCACCTGCCCTCCGTGCTGTGGTCACTCTGGGGGGCTGTGGACTGAGAGTATTCATGTGAACCCACTTCCTGCTGACCCACTGATGGTGTAGACCCAGCCTCTTCAGCAGCTCAGGTCTCAGGCTTCCCAGAGTAGCATGGGGTTGAGACTGATGTGAACATTACCAAGATGTGAACAATGGCTGCCCAGAACACGTCCAGGACATGCTCAGCACCTAGCCATTTCCTTCCAGAAAGACCAGGGGGTGAGGCTGTTAAACAGGCATGGTTTTAACTGCCTGTGGTGATCCCTTCTTGGGGGCTTTAGCTACTTGCATACCTCCTGTGATGGGAAATCTCCCCCTCCCCTGGCGGCCTACTTCAGTGTGAACCAGGGGTTATTAAATGACTACAGTTCATGGGCCAAATCCAACTGTCGCCTGTGTTTGTAAAAAAAATTTTATTGGAATGTGGCCCTGACATTTGTTCACGTGTTGTCTGTGGCTGTTTCATAAAACAATAGCAGAACTGGGTTGTGACAGGGATCATGTGGATGGTGCAGCCAATAATGTTTACAACCTGGCCTGTTACAAAGTTTGCTAATTCCTGCCTTAAATGGCAGGACAGGTCCTTGCCTTAATGGCCTCTTCTTCTTCTGTGACAACTGGTATATTCCTGTCCTTTCCTCCTTGCAGTCCCAGTCACTGACCTCGGCCGACTTCGTCAACATGAGCGTGGTGTGCTGGGAAGGGGGGCGCTGGCACATGGTGAAGACCCAGGGCTTTCGGCCCTTTGAGAACCGTAAGTGTATGGAATCCTGACTCCTGAGGTCCTGTCTCACCTTCCCCCATCAGCCTGTGAGCCTATCCCTAGCCTGTGCCCCTGCCTGGAAGATTCTTTCCACCTGGAAGATTTCCTACTCGCTCTTCAAGGCTGAGTGATGACACCTTCTCTAAGAGAACCTTTCCCAGCTCCTTTTGCACAGTCTCTGTCCTTTGTTGTTACTGCCTGGTTGTGACTCTGTCTCTGATGGACTGGCAGCTCCCTGAGGGCAGAGTTTTTGCAGTTCTTATGGCTCCTCTCTAATTAAGCACTCAGTTGCAGGCCTGAGCAGGCAGAGCTTAGGGAGGGTTGTTGAATGACTGAGTGTTCCCTGATCTTGGGGGCCACCTCTAGGGAATGCCAGGTAGAGGGTGAGACTGGGCTGTATCCTCTTGGTGTCTGGTTCACTGATCCTGACTGCTGTCCCCTCCTCTCTTCTGCCTGCAGTTCGCCTGATGGCCCCCCACTCCCTGAAAGTCCTGCTTGTCGAGACCCAGACATGCAACATAAGCTGGCAGGTCTCCCAGGTCTCTCACTACATCATTCAAGACTTGGAATTTGAAGTCCGAACTCAGTCTCCAGGCCGCAGCTGGGAGGTGAGGGTGCTGCCTGTCCCCCTGCCCCTGCTGTGCCTTCCTATCCTGTGCACGCCCACCCACATCAGCTTCCCAATCCTGTCATTGTCTCATGAATTCCCATGACCACAGGCATAAGTGGGCAGCTAAACACCCCATCATCTTGTACTCACTGATACTGCCTGTCTTGCCCACATTCTCACAGCTTGGGGATACAGCAGGTATAAGGCTGTATAGATCCCAGGGCAAGGGAGCCTATAAGTCCTGGGCACCCACTTTTCCATACTTCAATCCAGTGTGTTTCCCAGGTGTAGAGACTGAGGCTCATTAATTGTGCACTCATCCCTTTCCTTGTTGGATGGTGCACAGCAGATACTATGAGAAGATAGTATGTCTTAGACTCTGGGGAGGGTATGGCACAAGGCTGGCAGGCTTCCTGCTCTCAGGAATCTCATGGGGGTGGAGGTAGACTGATCCAAAGAGACTAAAGATCAGAGCCAAGCAAAGATGGAGTTGGAATGTTGGTTACACTGGAGTGACTCTGACATTCATGAGCCTGGGGAACAGGAAGGAGGAAATGGAATGCAGAAGCATGGTGGGGCCTGTGTAGACACCTTTTTTCTAACTTGTGGAGACTATACTTCAGCAGGGTTGGGCCCAGAGTATTCCATGAGAAGTTAGAAGATTGACAGATGGCTTAGGTTGGGGGACATTAAGGGGAGTGATGAAATGCAACCTTAACATTCAGGCTCTCGGCAGCTGGGGAACCAGGGAGCCTTTGGAACGGCCAGGGAGGGTGCTGCATGCACAGCTTGCTGGCCTGGCCCAGCTGTGGGAGGTGAGGCGGGCAGCAGGGACCTCGCTGAGCTGATGCCTGTCTCTGCCCAGGACATGCCCCTGCTGAGCCTCAAGCAGTGGCAGCAGTGGATCTGCCTGGAGAAGCTCACCCCCGACACCTTGTATGAGATGCAGGTGCGGGTCAGGGCGCAGAGAGGTGACCACAGGACCTGGAGCCCCTGGAGCCAGCCCCTAGCATTTCAGACAAGGCCAGCAGGTACAGTGGACAGCAAGAAGGGAGCTGGGCAGAGGCCAGGGTGCTCTGGGAACTACAGAGGGGGAGCCTGGGACTCAGTTCATCTACCTGCACCTACTATGGGCCACTTACAGGTGGTGACAGGGTCACCAACAGGAGGGACAAGTGTGGCCTGTGAATGGGTTGGAGCAGTAGGAAAGCTCTTTCCCACTGTCCATTCTGAATCTCTGAACTTCATGACCAACAGTTGCTTTCTCTCAGACTCACCTGTAGGACAGGTGCTGTGAGGTGAGGCAGCTCTGTGGGGAACAGTCAGGTACAACAGCCTCTCAGCCTGGATACTGTGGGTCTGCCATGCCAGTGGGGACTCTTGAGGGCCTGTTCCTCATACTAGCACATGCTGAGTTCAAACTCAAGGGACACAGGGGCTCTAAGTGTAGTTCTCAAAAGCAGTTAGAGAGAGAAACTGCCTCAGTGGCTGAGGTTGAGATCAGCCAGGGTGGCTGAGGGCTGCTTTTGGAGCACCACACGTTCTGGAAATGCCATAGGGTCATTCCCTTTAAGTGCAAGTCTGTTTTCCAGGACAGGTGGGTTTAAGTCAGATGAAGGACCCAGTGCCCTTCAGCGGCAAGCCTATCCAGACACTGGTACCAGGCAGGGCATGACTCCAGGGGACTAGGGACCCAAGTAATGAGGGGATACCTCTCACCCTCTATTTCTTCTACCCTGGACAGATCCCAGGAAGGAGATCCTGCCCATATCATGGGTCAGACACCTCCTCCTGAGCCTTGGTTGCATTTTTGGCTTCCTAGTTTGTGTCGGCGTCCTGACCAAATGCCAGTACCTCGGGCCATGGTAAGGAAGCTCCAGACATTCTTCCCTTCCTACCACATCTCTTATATACACCTTGTCAGATCTGGCTGGGCTGAACCTCCATTTCTGCACACCTGCCCTCCTGTGCCTTTGCCCAATAGCTAACTCTGTCCCTGTGAACCCCCTGCCCCACACACAAAGGTGAGAGTTCCCCAGAGCCTTGAGGAACTCTGTTCTCTGGGCTTATACTGTACATATCAGCTGTCCCTGTGAGTAACCCTTCTGAGTCTGTCTAGGGCTTCTTTCATTCACCGAGTCCACACTCTGTGCTGGGTGTGTGGAATGCTGGGAATACAAAGAGTTGCCACGTGTGTATATCCCAGCTCCACAGAGCTCACAGGTTGAGGTCGCTGAAGAGGGGCATGAAGGGTAGCTCTGGGATTAAGGGACCCAGTAGCTGGGTCATCAGGGAGCTTTTGGAAGTCAGTAGGGGAAAGCAGCAATTGGAGTATTCCAGGTGAAGAAAGTGATATGTACAAAGATCCTGGGTAGGAAGAAGGGGGAGCTTCCAGGAGCACAGTATGGTGAGCCTGGTACAGCCAGAGACCAGAGTGGAGTAGGTGAGGGGGCTGACCTTGAGCCCGGAAGCTTGGCAGGACCTTCAAGGCCATGGTAAGGATGTGGAGCTTTATGCTAGGCAGCCTGGGAGGGATTCTATAATGGTGGGTTGGGATCAGCTTTGGTTTCTGTGACTCTGACGAGTGTGTAGAAGGTGGGGCCTGGGAGGCAGGGAGAACAGGGAGAAGGTGACATTTTAACCAAGGGACCCTGTTCTCTGGGGACAGCCTTTCTCCTCCCAAGAGGAGAGAGTAATTCACAGTTTGCAAAGTGTGCTCTGTATTGTCAACCTTTACTCTCCACAGTGCCTGGAGGATAGTGAGTCTGGTGCTTTCTTTCCCTTCTAACTGATGCTAGAACAGTCCAGAGTGGTCAGTTGAGCTGCTCAAGGTCACACAACCAGTCAGCAGCTCCCTGCCCCTCATCTTGGCATTTCCTTGTTTCCCTACTCTTTCTCCACCAGCCACCCCCAGCCCAACGCCGGTCTTCGAAGGAAACCCGCACCTTGGTGCCCTCTTCCCTCTCCACAGACCACACAAACGCCGTTGTTCTTGGCCCCCTCCCATCCATTCTCAACTGTGCCACACTCTTGTCTAACTCTCTTCAGGAACTTTACACCACATCCATAATACACCCTGACCTTTGAGAGTCACCCACTGGCCATTTGGAACCCTGTATAGATTGGAGAGTGGTACCCTTTTCTCCACATAGATGTACTCAGGCCTGATCACTCAGCTTGGCAGGGACAACATGGGGAAGAATTCAACCTCCACTCACTGTCCCCCACAAAGCCAGATGCTATTGAGCAGTGTACAACCTGAACCTTCATCCACGGCAGCCCCTCAGTAGAAGGCCCTTGTCCTACCTCCTTCTCTAGCCTTTGTGGGCTCTCTCAGTCTAGAACCTTTCCTTGAAAGCAGCCCATCTTGTGAATTTGGTTCAAGTTTGATTCCTTGTCAGCATGTGTACTCCTAGAGAGCAGAGATCTTCTCTGCCGGTCACTCTTAATGTCCCCAGCACCCTGCTCAGTGTCCTTCTCTAGTGAATGCTCAGTCAACATGGTTGAATACATGAATGGGTATGGGTTGGCCTCATGTCCTACCTCAGGGATGTGGGGCTGGGGAGAGGACACTGCATCCCCCTTGTCTCACCCTTTGTCCCTCCCGCTCTGTCCTGGCCAGGCTGAAGACAGTTCTCAAGTGCCATGTCCCCGATCCTTCTGAGTTCTTCTCCCAGCTGAGCTCCCAGCATGGAGGAGACCTTCAGGTAGGACCGGGGTGGAAGACAGAGGGATACTGATGGGCAGCCTGAGTGCAGGCAGTGGGGTAGGGAGGTGGCCTAGTAACAGTGGTTTTGCCCTCTGTGAGAGGATGTAGGGTGCTTAGCAGCCTCCCCCATCAGCACTCCCTGTCCCCTGCTCTGTCATGGGCACCTTCCATCTAAGTCATGTGGTCTGGTCTCTAACCACAGCTCTACCACTTCCTGGCTGTATGAGTTAGGAAATTATAGAATCTCTGTGTGCCTCAGTTTCCTCACTTGTACAATGACAAGAAAATGGTATTTATGTGTATACAGCCCTATGAATGTTGCCAAGCACAGGGTGAGTAGTCCAGGTAACAGCAGGAATTCCCACCTGCTTCTCGGGCCCCTGTGAGCAGTTCTTGGCAGGCCCCATGGACTTATTGTAGCAACAAATCCTTTCATTGCCTGGAGTCATAAAGTCTGGGTTTGTTTTAAAATTACGGGCCATACAGTCAAATTGATTCAGGCTATAAGTTTCCAGAGGCCAGGGATAGGTTTAAGGGAATGTCTGCTGCCTCCACACTAGCCCCCTCTTGAGGCTCACATACTTGGGAAGCGTTCAATGGGGGCAGAGGCCTTCAGGAGCTGTGCTGAAGATGGGAGGTCTGGGCTGGACCCCAGTTCTGCTGGGCTGGCCTTGTATGACCCATCATCCCTGAGCAGGAGCAGGAGACCCTTCTAGAATCTCTGGGAGACTCCTAGGACCACTTGCTGTGGTACTCATGGAGAGAGAGAGAGAGAGAGAGAGAGAGAGAGAGAAGAGAGAGAGAGAGAGAGAGAGAGAGAGAGAGAGAGAGAAAAAAAAACACA